GAATAATTACTGAGTAATATTATTCTTGGAATGGACGCTGAGAATTAATTATGAAAAATAGCTAGCTGGCCGAACTATTTTATTGAAGTGTATAATCAATGCATCTATGTTAACAACTTAACACACGTATGAAATATATTTGTGGTTAGTGAATGTTACAAGTACACATATAAAAGCATATCTATTTCTCAAATATTAATTAATGTAATTTGAACATTTGACTAATTTGAAGTATATATAGTTGTATATTACTAAATGAAATTAATAGTACACACATCATATCAAATTAAAAATCTTGACCAAATAGTATGAATATTGAATCGAATCATCGATTTGACATCAATAACATCGATGGCTAGTATTATTATTATTAACGGTAAGTACCGTGGCCTAAGGTACTGGAGCTCGGTATCATAGTCCACTCGATCGTGATTGGCCTCTCACTTGGCGCCTCGAACAACACGTGCTCGATAAAAGGCCTTGTGGCGGCCCTTTGCTTCCACCAAATGTTCGAGGGCATGGGGCTCGGAGGCTGCATTCTACAGGCCGAGTACAAGCCCATCAAGAAGGCAGCCATGGCCTTCTTTTTCGCGGTCACCACGCCGTTTGGGATTGGGCTGGGCATGATACTGTCCACCACATACAAGGAGAACAGCCCGCGGGCCTTAATCACGGTGGGCTTGCTCAACGCTTCATCTGCTGGGCTTTTGATTTACATGGCCTTAGTGGACCTGCTGGCGGCGGACTTTATGGGCCCGAAGCTGCAGGGGAGCGTGAGGCTGCAGGTCAAGTCGTTTGCGGCCGTGCTGTTAGGGGCCGGGGGAATGTCACTAATGGCCAAGTGGGCTTGAAATGGCTGGATTTTGTGTGTTCTTTTATAAGAATTTGTGTTGTTTTTGATATTGAATCTTGGCCAGCCTCATATGGTTTCTTACTGTCTGATGGGTTTATATGTATATTGCATTTGATTTAATAATTAATTTTGGTTTCAAAATTAAGGTGTTGTACTGTTATTAAAAGTTAAATTTTGCAAGAAAATTTAGTACCAACTTTTGTTGTTCGGCAATTTAATTTAATCAACACTTGTAGAGTTTTATTTTTAACAATTAAGTTTTATTTGTGTTAGTTATATAGTTATTATATTGTTTATTGTAGGGTTAGGTTAAAGTTCAACCTAAGGAAGACCTATCTTATAGCTTTATATATGTGTACATGTCTATGTATTAATACCCGAAATTTATTTTTTCCACATTATTACATGGTATCAAACTAGCTTTAGAGGTTAGGGTAATCGTAGGCTTGATTTTCGTAGCTCATCTCCGGCCATCACGGACTCTCACCATCACTGCCATCCTCTCTGGCATCCCCCGTACGTCTTCGCCGGAAATTTCAATGCCATAACTAAAACTGAACTAAAACGAAACGAAGTTTGCTGAAGTAGTGTATTTGTACTATAAAGAAAAATAAACCAGAATGAGATAAGTTGGTTATAAATATTCAAACTTTATGTAATTTCTATCAATACACATATAAAATAGAAAAGATCGGTGGCGCGTTGGGCTCCACGTACCTCGTCTCCGTCACGGCGCTAGGAGCTTCTTCCGGAGCGTGTGGTTACACTCATAGTAAGATGAAGAATCTAATAGTTGATTGAGGTAGATGTCGAAAAAAATAAGGAAACTCGGCGAAACGACATTGTTGGGCATCTCAGAATTGGAATCGATGACATAATTAGTTGGAGGTTTAGCTGCACAACGACACGAGGATGAAGAGTCTGTTTTTTTTTTTTTATGGAACATTGTCGGAATCAAGAACCAAAATTTCTGGCAATATGTGATGTGTGTGTGTAACTTTCAATAGATAATTGGAGGGCATCCCAACTCCGAAATGATATGGAAATTTGGAGAGTTGTGTTGGGTTTTGTGAAGAACATCAATGAATGAGCATGTTAAAAAAAAAAAAAGTTAATCCTACTAAGCAAAGTTGATCTAAAGTTAGAATTAAAAACTTACAATAGATTGTGCCCTATTTTGTTTGATTTATTAATCTATGATAGCGGTATGTTTTTGCCGTTGGTTTTTGTAGGAAATATGTTAAAAAAATGTTAAAATATGAGTCGAGATAAAAAAAGGTTAAAACGAGGTGCACAAGGGGCCACACGACTCGCAATATTAATGTAAACGAGGTACACAAGGTGCATAAGTACAATATAAATAAACCGTCCGATGACCTGCATATAAAAAATAACAAAAATTTTTGTCAAAATTGAAAAAAGAAAATGCGCAGAAATTGACACTTTAAATTGATGATCATGTGAACTAAAAGGATCTAATTAATTAAGGTATGTTGAATCCATGAAAAGAGAAATAAATGGCGATCACATTCATAAAGCATGGACAATCGAGTCGTTGAATTGAAGTATTCGTCTAGCCGCCACGTGCCACCAGAAATCTAGAAATTTCACCATAACTTTTACAGCCATTGGAAGGTCCAAATGACAGTATTAAATAAGTTATCAGCCTCATAAATTTTAAGACTTTTTAAAATCTTATTTAAATATCTCAAGATCTTAAAAATTTAATATCTAAAATTTTAAAAAAATCTTTTGTAACTGTAAATGAATACATCCTTTTGTATAGTATGTAAAAAAAAAAAAAATGATACATTACATCAATTAGTAGATAAAATAATTTATTTATTACTTAGAAGATAATAATATTTCTTGTAAAAAAATAAATAATATTTTCTATTTATTGTGGCCCTTAACTTCATCAATTACAATTTTTTTCTAGGAAACTTCCCACACCACCAAGACGTGCCCCAGTAGCCTAATGGGGGTGACCTTATTTCTCAAGGAGCTGAACAAACTTTTGTTGTCTATTATACTAAGCAGTCGCGAGTTCGAATCCGACAAAGCCCATTTATATTAATATTATTTCCAATTAATCAAACATCAATAAATTTGCCCCCTTTCATCCTCTATCTAGGGTTTGCAAAGGTTTTGCTTTGCCATGGCAAGACCCGTTGAAGGGCCCGACCCACCATCGGAATCCGAATTCTCATCCAGCCTGGCCCGTGTGGCCGTGGCCCAGACCTGCCAGTCGATGGGCTTCACTGGAGCCCAGAACTCGGCCCTCTGTCTACTCACGGACGTCGCAACCAGGTACCTCCGGTCAGCCGCCAAGCTAGCGGCGGCCTCCGCCGCTCTCGGCGGCCGTACCCAGTCGAATCTGGCCGACATTGTTGCTGCTCTCGAGGATTTGGCCTCCGTTCATGGCTTCCGTGGCCTGTCGAGCGTCCGGTCGGTTTCCCTGTGCTCGTCTGCCGTGGTTAAAGATTTGATCAAGTTTGTGAAGTTTACGGATGAAATCCCATTCGCCCGGCCCTTGCCGCCAAGGAGGATTTTTTTTCCGGGCCGGAAAAGGAAATTCAGAGAATATTGTGATGAGGGTAGATGGAAGCACGTGCCGGCGTGGCTGCCGCCGCCATTGGCGGCGCCGGCGGTTGAGAAAACGAGAAATGAAGATAAATGGGAGGAAAGTGTGGACACGAATCGAGATTCGAATAGTAGGGTTTGTTTGTCTAATTCGTCGATATTGTCGGTTAAGAGAGGAGGGAAAGTGAGATTCAAATTGGGTGCGGTGACAATGAAGAACCCGAATGCGTGTAAAAAAGCTCGAGTTTTGATGATTTGAGGAGTGTTTTGTTCGGCAAGAATCGACCGTGCCAAAAAAATAAAGCTCGAGTTTCGATGATTTGCTTGTTTGAAGGTGTGGACTGTGAGAGGAGGAGGTGGAGATATTTTTTCTTCTTTCCTATTAAGAAAAAAGGATTTGTGGAACAATTGTATGAAGTTCAATAGTAATGGAGGCAAGTAATCTTGTTTTTTCTCCCTTTCATGTATTTTTTAATCCAAATTACACTTAATGCTTCCAAACTGTGCTTTTTTACTGCTTAAGCTTATTATCTCAATTTACAAATACAAAGACATCAGAAAACCAGTGAAATCGAGCCAAAATCTCGGCGTAGGAATTGAAAGAAGATTCATGGCCGTCTCAAGCTGACAAGCTCGATATCAAATATGAGTGTCCCTAAAGTCGAACCTTCTCCATTTGCCAGACGGGTAGGATTGAAGATCGTCGTGAAGAGCCTCTGTCTGTCAAAAAACTGCAGTTCATAGTTTACAAGTGGTAATAAGAAACTGAATTATGTAAATATAGCTAATAGCGTTATAAAACAACGCAATAATGAACTTTTCGTGTATTGATCTCCATTTTGATCTTCACTTTATGCACATATTCTCTTCATTCAGTCATTCAGTGCAACTGAATGAATCTAACTGCCGAAAACAATTTCAATTTATAGCCAACAAAGCTTTAGAAAAAAAAACAAGAACCCCCAACGGCAAAAGTAGTATAAGAGAATACATACATTGGGCGGGATCGGTTCTTGATTCGTATTTTGATATCCTTGAGATGGGGGAATGATGGCTCGGCGTATGCCACCTACTTTCATCGAGCTCACGGCCGATTCAATTCCAGATATTACCTACATAGTTTCGGTTGAGTTCCCACACAAAGGGGTCTGCTGTTATTTCACTCGAACGACAACTTCAAAGTTAAGTCTTTTTATTGATCACCTTCTCTAATAAAAGTTGACAGATTCCCCACCAAAATATGGCAAAGTTTCAAAAACCGGCCAGAAACTTAGTCGGAAAGTTGCCACAATGACTCTCACATGAGCCTCCAAAGGATAAAACCATCATTTCCCTCATACTTTTGGTCGAATATCGGACGAGTTTATGGCTAGATAATATAGACTATGAGGCAATTTTGAAAGGACTTTATGAAAGGACATTAAGTTCTTTTTTTTTTTTTCAACAAGATCATATAAGAAATTCAAGAAATGCAGCATAGATTATTACTTTTCCAGAGCCAAGAACAAACTCGAAAGGAATCGGTTCACCGTTCGCATCTCTATGGTCGTAAGTCGAATCGAAACGCCATCCTTGCTTTGCCGCCAGCCTTCCATAGTAATGGATCACAACCTTTTTTTTTCCCCAAATCAAAATAAAATATCAACATTAACTACTCGGAAGCCTTAAGAGATGAATATTAAAAAAAAAAAAATGGGGAAAAAAAAGGAAAGATTAAAAATGGTGTACAAACCTTGTCCCCATCGGAGGGCATTTGTCCACCGTCACCAATCCGAAGGTCCAAGGCTTTGACACCGCCGGAATTTGGGAGCTCCGTGAAATTAGAAGTTCTGGGTTCGGACAGAGCTGCAAACCTTGAGCTGCGGCCGTCGGAGAACGCTGCAACCCCGGACAAAAAAGTGGAGATTGTGAAGAGCGAAAGAGCTGCTCTTCTAGTCGGCGGCGGCGGCGGCGGCGGTGAATGAGTGGCGGTGGTGGTGGTGGTGGCGGTGAATTGAGGAAGAGAAACACGGGTCGGCGAGCGTGAACTGTAAGCTTTGGGCTGGAATTGAAGAGCCATAGTCTGCACCACCAGTCGCCGGTTGCGACGAGTGATGGATAGGATAGGATAACGGTTATTTTCCGGTGAGGTGAGTACTTTTGGGCCTAATTTTGGCAGGCTCTATTGGGCCGGAGCTTTGATTTCATTAATTGCTAGGCTATGGTAAATTAACACGAGTTCATAGCCTTATATATACTAATTCATGCCACATTAGTTGGTGGATATATTAATTCGTACTCACTGTGATATGAGAGGCTGGTGAATATATTAATTCGCAATCACAGTGATATGAGAGAGCGAGATAAATTTTACTTATGGTATTTATCTAAATATGTTCATTACAAATATTTATTACTTACATTTGTAAGTTTTGTCGGACGATAAATAATCAAGAAAGACATTATTATATGGCACAAGTATGTATGATGCACGGTGATTTTGCATATTGTTTACTATCTTTCTCGATTTTTTTTCACTAAATTTTGACGTGATTTTAACGAGGCATGGATCACAATGTTAATCGAATTCCTCCATTCATCTACTTTAGAAATTGCTCATGTACCCACTATGAGCACATCAAGATGTGCCCATCAGTCATGTGTTAAGATTTCGTGATCTTTAAATGATAGGCACATTACCACGTAGTATATAGTATGTTAATCTCATGTCACATCAAATAATAGACATATCACCACGTGTCTAATGTGTAGTTACAGTTATTACTTCCATCGATCTATCTGTTTCACATTTCTTCTATACAAAATTCTTGATGCAGATTGGACCGCACTTTACAAATTATGACTTGAATAGCTAGACATAAAAGAAAAAATAGTCAGTAAATATACAATAAAAGTGTATCATTTATGTATATGTATAATATTTTTAGAAAAGATTAAAATACTTATACAAACTATTTCAAAAATTTGGTATATAATTATTTATCCATAAATAATCAACTCGTGAAAACTTGGGCAGAAGTGTAAGCCCACATACATGTTAAGGCCCACCATGAGACCATTTGAAGAAACCTTTGGTATTTTGTTATCAAGTGTACTCTGAATTATTGGTACCTTATCTTACCGGGGATTTTTTTCCGACCCTTACCCGTCACGGCTTCGCACTGCCGCCACCGTTGACTACCGCCACCATCTCCGCCACAAACAACCATCATCCCCTCTGAGCAATCGCTCTCGCCGGACGAGTTTCTGCACGCATCGAAATTACCAAGAATTTCTTAAAGGGCCCGTTGCGATCCGACATCGTTTTAGGAAATTTCCACGCTTCCAATTTTTTTTTTCAGGGAATCGGATCGGAGATTGATTTGATCCGGACATGGCGGTGCTGTTGGAGGACATTGTGAAGTCCGTGGAGCAGCTGTTGAAGCTGATCGGCAAGAAAAGCGAGGAGCAATCGTTCGTCGACCCCACGCTCGACCCCGTCCTCCTCGTGCCGGGCATCGCCGGTTCGATTCTGAATGCGGTCAACGATAAAACCGGTAAGACTGAGAGGGTTTGGGTCCGTATCCTTGCGGCCGATCACGAGTTCCGGGACAAGCTCTGGTCTCGCTTCGATCCTGCCACAGGTCGCATTCCGAACTTTTACAACTCTTCTCGCGTACAATTTCGGGTCTTTCTTTGGCTGTGCTGCTGCCTACCTAGCTGCTGTTTGATGGTTTTGTTTAGTTGGTTGATTGTTTTCTTGTTTCTGGGTTTCTAAGTAGTTTGTTCTTCACATTCTAATCTATTGCAAAGGAACAATAAGTGCTCACTGTGGTATGGTGTGACAAAACGAGGATATATCTTATCATAAGCTTAATGAGGTTGATATATAGATCATCTAGTAATCACTATGCTATTGTTATTCTCAGTTTTATTTTCCCCTTCTGCTGCTAGATGTATCTGTTTTGCTAACATAATGCTGATAACAGGTAAAACTGTGACCTTAGATGATGACACACATATTGAGGTTCCTCAAGACAGACATGGTCTGTATGCAATTGATATGTTGGACCCTGACATGGTGAGTGTTGTTTCGTTACTAGTTATTTTGTCATAATTTCCATGCACCACTATATTTTATAGTTGGCCTTAAATCCTTTCCTGAATTCTTTTGCAGGTGATTGGTGGTGATTGTGTATATTATTTTCATGACATGATAGCTGAATTAATCAGCTGGGGCTATAAAGAGGGAACAACACTTTTTGGGTTCGGATATGATTTCCGCCAGAGCAACCGGTAAGTGCGAAACTCGCTGTCAAATGTATTCCTTACTTGACTATAATGCTACTGACTTAGTGACAATATGTTTGTAACATTGTAGCATGCTCTGCTGGCATACACCTATCCTTTTTTGTAGCCATATAATAGTAATATCTTTTACTTTACAGTTTACACTGGTCTCTTTCTATTTTGAAGTCAGCTTGGCATGAACCCTTAGGTTTGTAGCTCTTCAGAGTTTGTAATTTTGTGATCCCTGTTTTTGAGTTTGTACAGGAAGGAGAGGTATGTGAGTAAAAATTTCTTGTTTTCTAATAGGAGTTGCTTATGGTGGTCTTGCTAGCATTGACATATCTGTGTATAGATGCAATTAGTTTTACGAAATAGACCTTTTTGTGTGGAATTTATTGCATGTTTTTATTTTTTTGCTATGACTTATATATTCCTTTCCTTGTTTCTAGATTTCAGGAAACACTGGATCGCTTCGCATCAAAACTTGAGTCAGTTTATACTGCCTCTGGGGGTAGAAAAATAAACTTAATAAGTCATTCTATGGGTGGTCTTTTGACTAAATGTTTCATGAGCCTGCATAGTGATGTAATGCTCAAACTCTCCTCGAATTTGCTTGTTTCATTTTTTCATTTCAATATTCTCAATTCTCTGTTTTTTTTTTTTTTTTT